CCTGGCACGACTGGGGTGTCATTAAAAAATAATGGCACTGACAGCACGATCGACGGTGGTGTGCGATTCCGTAACCACCCAGCCATCCGCTCGGTTTCGTGCATGATGACCGTGCAGTCACGGATTGCACACCACTGCCGATCGCGCTGGTAGTGCCATTATTTTCTAAGGACACCCCAGTCGTGCCAGGCAGATTGTGCGTTTTCCTGCTGCAATACTGCCCTGCCCGAGCGGTTGCACACGATTGCAGTTGAAAACACTGCATTTATTCGCATGCAGATGGGAACAGCGGGGCTGGTTTTCATTTTTTAAATTTTTATTTACTTTTACTTTTATTTTATTTTTTTGTAAAAAAATTTCATTTGTTTTATTATTTTTCCTTAATCGCCTTTTTATTTAGTTACATTTTGAATTTGTTTTACTTTTTCATTTTAACTATTTAAAAAAAAAAAAACTTAACTGTATTGCTATCACACAGGGAATAATAATCCCCTGTGATAGCATTTGGAGGTGACAGGTACTCTTTACAGCACTGTTGCTAGAACTCCTGTGATAGGAACGAACAGCGGTCGCCGGGGACAGAGGCTGAGGGAGGTGACAGAGCCTGTCACAGCTCCATCGTCCGGCTTTGTCACGGCTCCACGCCCTCCGCTCCGTCCCCAGTTCTCAGCGCTCCGTCCCCGCCCCCTGCTCGCAGCGCCACTCTCGGCGCTCGTTTAAGAAGAAAAAAACCCAGCCCTGCTACTTGTCCGTAGCAGGGCTAAAATAGTGACAAAACAACTTGCCCGGAACTACATGTCCCGGGCGTCGGGCGATACGAATTCCACACCCCTGAACAGTCATCACTCTCTGCAGGGAGAAGATCATGACCTGAGCAATCAGCAGTTGGTGATCACTCAGCTCTCGGTGACAGCTGCAGTGTTCCACACTGACTAACTATATGCTTTGCTCTCCCAAAGCGGCTTCGTTAAAAAAAAAAAATGACACCACAAGAAGTTGATCATTTTATTTGCTAGAAAAGACTATTCTGTGCCACTGTCTGATTAGGTTTCACTTTTGTTACTGTGGTTTGACTTTGCCTGACTTGTATCCACCAACCACCCTTCTCCTGTCCAATAAGAGCTCCCTTAACGGCCATAAAAAGCAGTCTCATTGGACAGCAGGATGACCGTTTGTACGCTCCAGTAACAGAGAGAAAGTAAATGAAAGGAGGAGGCTTTCCTGGCAAGTCAACATAGTAGGTATCTTGTGGTATCTCTTAAGGTGCCCATACTCCTTACGATTATCAGACAATTTTCGTATGCAATCGACTTTTCGGCCGATAATCGTATGTGTGCATTGCAGTGTCCAACCGACAGCACTGTACAATCGTACGACTTTTGACGGTCAAGCATGTTTGAAAACTTTGCTAGATCGTACGATTTTCGTAAGGTTGCTGGCGTTTCCGCCCGTCAAAAGTCGTACGATCTACACTGCGCTTACGAAAATACGGCAAATCAATTACCGCATTTCGGCCAGGTGCTTTTTCGCTAATTACGGCTAAATTAATCTTGCGATCGGGGCAGGATGGGGCTGCCGTACGAAAATCGTACGACTATTCGATCGGACGAAAAGTTTCGTCCGATAATCGGAAGGTGTATGGGCACCTTTAGGCAGGAATGCAGATTTAAACGCGAGCCAGAGTTTAAACGACCTGGGTCGAAGATGCTGGGGATGTCACCAGGGCATCAGAATTGATTTAAACTGTGCTTTCGCAGCCAAATTGGAATAACACCCATTTTATATTTGTTACATGTTCCCATTCACATAGCATAAGCTACAAATAAAAAAAATCAGTTTAAAACGCTATTAATTGGGTTAGGGTTTTAAGGATCAACATGTATTCTTGTTTCTTCATCTTTGAAATGTTAGGAGGGGCGGTGAGGGCTCTGATGTGGTTTGTCCATTGTATGTTAATGTTATGTTATCAGACTCGAGCCTCAAATTTCAGTCCCAAGACTATCCACTAGGACACTGCCGTGTGAATAACAAGACAAACGAACATATTAGAGAAGTTTTCCTAAATTTCACTGCAAAAGTGGAAATGCACTTAAAAGCTTTACCATGGGTATGAGCAAGCACTACAAGGTGCACGACAACAGTACATTTAACGAATGTAAATTAAGGCCTCATTTCACATGAGAAAAGGCTGGCACGTCCCAACTCCATGCACGGCCATATCGACAGCTCCCGGGAAGGACAGGTGCTGCGTGTGATTAGTACGCAGCCCCTGTCCTTCTCTATGGCAGTACGCGGCTGTAAACCGCCCTACGCTCACCCCAAGTGCAGGTCTGTACAGGTGCGGATGTCCCTTCTTGGATGCAGACTGGATCCATCCTGTCAGCATACGAGTACGGACACCCGCACGGACGTGCAGGGTGGGCGAGCGTAGGGCGGCATACGGCCGCGTACTCCCGGGAAGGACAGATGCTGCGTGTGATTAATATGCAGCCCGTTCTTCCCGGGAGCTGCACGATACGGCCGTGCACGTGGCATGGAGCTGTACGTGCCGGCCTTCTCATTGAATGAGGGCTTAAGGTCACACCAATACATCTGCTACTGCAGGAATTCGTAAATATTTAGACAAAAAACCATGTTCTTGCACTTCTAACAGCACAGCCCAGTACTGCACATGATTTTTTCTGATCCAAGCAATACTCCACTGTTTTAAATATTAAGAAAAGAAAAAAAATAGGACAAAAAACAAACTATTTCAGCTGAAATTTTTTTTAACTATAAATGGCTCCCGGCTCCATTTTTAAGTCCGCATTTTAAAAGCTAATCATTTGTTTAAAGAAGAACTTCAGGATTTTTTTTTTCAAATTAACCCGTGCAGTGAGGCCACCCCCGCTCTTCAAGGGTTAAGAAGTTCTTTTGGTCCAGGGACGAAAAGAAAGAAAATATACCGATCTGATCTTCAGTTTCGCCTGGCTATTAGACCATTCCCTGCAGCCTCTGGCGGTCTAAGGACCCATGACGTCACCATGTCTAATGTAGGTCCCTTAGATGTGAGGCCGCCGAGGGACCTTCCACAGCTGGAGTGGAGGGGGAGAGCGGTGAACGGTCACTGCCGCAGGATCGGGGATCAGGTTAGTAGATCTTTAACTTCACCTCAAGGCCAAAATGAGCAGTTAACCCTTGCAGTGCGGGGGTAGCCCCATTGGGAGGGTTCATTTGAAAAAACCTTGAGTTCATCTTAAATATAAAATCTAAGTACAGAAGGTTTAGCCAAGTGTCCTAAAAGAAACCTCTGCTTTGATTTTTAAAGCAAAGCAACATATTTGCTGTAAATCCTCATCTATCCAGCATATTTATCTCCCCCACTGATCTCTTCAGCACCGGTAACTGAAGGAAATACACAGTACAGTAAACTCCCCATTATGCGGAATTCAACCAACGAGAAAAAAACAAAACAAAATCGAGGACATAATATGCCAGTTGCTTGATAGACATGTGCACAATAAAGAATATTGTAAGCAACTAAATTTATTTTGCATGTGCAATAGCCAGCCTGCTATTGGCTATGGAAATTTGAAATAGCCAATAGCAGAATCTAGCCAGCAGATGCATATGGTTGGGGGGATTTGTCGCTTGTGTGTTAATAGCAACTGTTAAGCAACCAGAAACTACAGTTATCCAGCATCTACCAATCCCCATTGGTACCGGATAACTGGGAGTTTACTGTACTTCTGGGTATGGAGGATCATGTGACCCACTGTGTCAGCACTGAGACCACAAGTATGGTCCAAAGGAGAGTCCATAGCGCTGTGAGCTACAATTTCAGCAACTCTTAGCTTACACAACTTTCCTTTGCTCCATAATGCTGAACGGGGGGGATGTGCTGCTGGGTAGAGTTACATTAATGTGGACCTTACGATTTGGCATGCGCACTCAAAACATCAGGTTAGCTTTAAAGAGTATCTAAACTGAAAAATAGAATATAGCAGTGAAATCAGTCGTCAGCTGAAATGGGTGCATTTGTTTTCTTTTTATTTTCACCTGGTATTCCTGCCAGTAACACTTCCTTTGGTGACAACGCTGTCAGTATGGAGGAGCAGGCAATGCTGCTCCTCCATACTGACAGCGGTGTCACCAAAGGAAGTGTTGTCACCCTAGGCCACTCTTCTAAATTGGGCTTCAAACACCTCTACCTATTTTCATCTCCATTTCATAGAGAAAGGGTATTCTATAGTTCACAGAAGGTAGCTGCAAACACTGATAACATTATTTGATACATCAGTTCTGTGCACAGGAGGTTAGGAGGAGTCTAGGTTTCTGGCAGAAGCAACAGGTATTTTTCTGTACTTGCAGAAACTGTACCGATAAAAAGAAAACGAATGCAGCCTTCACATCTAAGGACTGGTAAGCTGTGATAGATTACATTTTTTGTTTTTGGGTTTAGATACATTTTAAGTCTAATACATTGAGCATTTTTTTAAAAAATCTGAAACAATGGCCTATTAAAAAAAATAGCAGGACCCCCAATCCATGTAAAATAAATAAAACACGAATCTTAAGAGGGCCAAGTTAATTTATTAAATAATGGAAAAAAAGTATAAAAAAAACATACAAACACTAATATAAAAACAACAGCGGGACAATTAAAAAATAAATAGTATACAACCGGGAGCCTTGATTAAGACAAAATGTACCTGCTTGTTAGCCTTCAGAACAGTCCTCAGAGTAGCTATTTGTTCCCTCTTAGTGCTCAGCAAAGCTTTCAGTTTCATGATTTCCTCCACCAGAACCCCTTTGTCCTTTTCCATTTCAGAAGCGATACTGTCCAGTGAATTCTGGTGCCATGACATGGCAAGAGCACCCTGCAGGTGTTTAATCTGGTCTTTGACAATTGCTACAAGATGAGTGACACTAAGAAGCTCTCTAGGCGAGTCCCCATAATCTGACCCCAAAGTAGAGTCAGGACTACTCAGTGGGGATCTCTCACCACTGTGAAGCTCTGTTATCTCTATGTCAGGGCTTACCAAAAGCCTGCCAAAGTAGTCTGAAGATTTTCTTTTTCGGAGACGCACCTTTGCTCCTTTACCATCTCTGTAATAATCAAGCATGACACGGTTTGGTGTCAGGTTATTTCGCATGCAGACATGGTTGTAGAGGTGAGCGAGCTCTTCTATGAATGCCAAGAGCTCCTCCTGGGCTAGATTCAACTTGCTCTGAAAGTCACAATAAAGCCTCCGTGCTGTCCTTAGCTCTTCCTGAAGTTCGGACAAGACACCTCGATCATCAGTCTCAGATTTGAAAGGGGACCGCAGTTCCTCAAGGGAAGCTTGTGGGTTTATCACCCACTTTTTCTTTTCTTCCTGGTACTTCTCCTCAAAGTTTTGATATTTTTGCTTCACTTCTTCCAGCTCTTTTTCAAGTCTGGCTAAATCAATTTCTTCCTGTCCACATGAGCATTTCACAAGGTTATTTCCATTGTCCAGCTCCTGACTGGGAAGGGTTTCCTGCTGGAGCACCTTAATTTGCTCTACCAACTCATCGTTTCTCTGCTGTTCATTACACAAGTCCTTCCTAACATCATCCAACGTCTTCTGTAGGTCTCGTAAACTGCTTTCCATGTTGGACTTCTCACGGTCAACCTGCAAATAAATAATGAAACATGAACACTACAATAGTTAAATTGCATAGGTTACATTTACATTGTAGAGAACGTTGGAGAGAAAAAAAAAAAAGACAGGTCCATCCAATCCAACCTTTGCGTAGGTCTGCCACCTTTTTTATTATTACAAATATATAAACCAGCAAAAACCTTCCTGTCCACCCAAAGCAGTCAGTCAATCTCAAGATCAGTCTTCTTCAGGCAATGGATGCATCATGCACAGACAATTCATTTTACAAATTGCTCAAGTGCCCCCTTAAAGAACTCCGGGCAGAAATTTGTATTAACCCTTACAGTGAGGCTACCTCTGCACTGCAAAGGTTAACGGCTCGTACTTGTCTAGGATCAGGAAACAAAACAAAAAAAACTTACTTACCTGATCCTGCTCATAGATCGGTCTCTAGAGCATCCCTCACCCTCCGATGCAGCGGTCTAGGGTCCCCGAGTCACAGTACATAGTGTATTCGACGTGAGGATGTCAAGAGAGCTACCATTGCTGCAGAGTCGGAGGAGAGAGGCTGGAGGGAGAGCTGCGGATCAGGCGAGTATGACTTTTTCTGGCTAGACAAAAATTAGCAGTTTTCTCTTGGGTAGCCCCACTGCAATGGTTAACAAAATCTGTGACCGGAATTCTTCCTTAAAAACTATGGCTGCTTTATGGACTCCTGCGATGAGATTTTAATAATGTCGGGTGATGTGTCATTAATAAACAGCTCAAAGAAAGAACCGTCTGCATCTAAGTGCTGGCCTCGATGTAATGCAAACCATAAGAAGAAGACAATGGAAAGAGATTCAAATCAAATAGCTGATAAAGCAACCATTAAAGCCTGCTGATCATGCCAGAGGATCCAAATTTTGTACTTCTATACCGTAGTTGTTTATAAACAGCTCAGGTTTTTTTTGGTGTTACAGATAAATCCTTGGTACTTGCTTTCACGCTAGCTTCAAGTGTATTTCCACCTTTCAAGCCAAACTAGTAAAAACACCTATTTTAGATTTGTTACTTGTTCTCATTCACATAGCATAACTTTTAAAAAATAGATTTAATTTCACAGGCTGTATTCTGAGAACTAAATTTTCCTCTGGAATTGAATAGGGGGTGCGGAGGTTAATGGTCATCTTGCGCAATTGCAAAAAATTGTGCATGCAGTTTTTTCTAAAGTAAACTTGTTTGTGTAACACTCCATTTGTGTATTTTATTTTAAAATTAAAAGTATGGTATTTAATTGTTTAATCCAACTGATTGAAAATCCGCCAAATAGATTATGAAAATAATTATTATTTGCAGCCGTAAATCTTCTATAAAAAAAAAGGACAGATCACGGTGAAGGTGCTCAGAAATACCTGGAAATCAGCCATGTTGCCTACTGCAACAAAACATCTAAAAAAATATGTTTTTTGAAAATTTGTTTTAGTTATGCTGTGTGAAACGGAACCCATTCACAGAGGGATTTTCTCAAATTTGACTGCAAAAGCCGAAATACACTTAGTGACATAATCCTCAGCTTTCTTTCTCCTTATACAGATCTACACAATGAACATTCTCCAAAGCCACATTTATGTTTTATGTTTTAAAATAAAGTCTTACTATTTTAATCCCTTTAGAAAGTCTGCCGTGCTCGCTCCTGTGTCTCTTCTCTCCCCTCACACTTCCTGTCACTTAGTAAAGGTGCCCATACACCTTACAACCAACCATCGCAAGACTTTTGTCTTGCAATAGTTATAAGCAAATTAAAAGCTTGTACGATCTGTCCATCTTGGACAGGCAGATCGTTCTTGCGATCATCGAAAGCCCGCCCCGAGCAGGCCACAAACCCGCCGACAATCGTACTATTCTCGGCGGGTTTTCAAACACGCTCGTTAGACAAAAGACATGCGACCGTACAGTTGAAATGGTCGCACGCCTTCCATACACCTTGCGATTATCGTACGATCGCGGGATTTCCCGCGATTATCGTACAATAATCGCAAGGTGTATGGGCACCTTAAGAGCCGTGCACATATTTCTTTCCCTACAACTCTCATGAAGCAGAGAGGAATACGGTAATCTCTCATTGCACACAGCAGCCTCCTCCCCCTCCCTCTGCTCACTATACACGCTGTGACAGTTTCACTGCTTGTAATCTTCTCTGCAATGCTCCGAATTATCAAAACTACTTACAACAGCTTTACAACAAACCTGCTACAAACATCAAGTTTACAACAATCTACACAGGAAAACAACTTTATCTGAAATGTAGGAGTCATATACTCTGGAACTGCGTGACCAGATTCAGCATGTGAGCTAAGACTCATCAATGCCTGTGTTCCGGTCAAAAAATAAAAAATAGTGCTTGCAGCATTTTTTCTGACCAGACCGCAGGCATTGATGTACCTTGCATTCCTGTGCGGCCGATTGCAGTGTGGCCGGAGGGCGTGGCAGCGGTGCCATTAATTTTCATGCACCGCCATGCCCCCTCCCGCCCCACAACAAAGTGAGCCAGCCGCAATTCTGATTCTGTCCGGCACGCACTGTGGCTGGTGTGAACTAGCCCTCAGAAGAAAGTATGAGGCTGGTGGCAGCTCACATGATGAATCTCCCCATACTTCCTCCTTGGTAAGCCATGAAGAGAGAAATCAAAGATCAGATATTAGTGTGGGAGAGCTGAAGAAATCCCAGCTCCTTGCAGAGTCTAGAGGGGAGGATTTGTGGGTGGAGACTGAGAAGACACGCCCTCAGCATGTTGTTGTCCTTCACATGAACGAGCACAGAGGGTAGCTACTTTTCAGCACACATACAGGATCATGGAGAACAAAAGTAGCCACCCGCTGGCAGGAAGTTGTGGCTGGAGAAAAATCAAACTGATTTTGGAGCATTTAGAGCGGAATAACAAAAAAAAAAAGGTTACACATTGATTATATAATAGAAGTTATTTTTATTATTTCATTTATGAGTTTAGTGTCCCTTTTGTCCCAGTAACTGAGCACAAAACAGACAAAGTCCAATGGAGCTGCAGGAGACTCAGAAGAGGACCCAAAGATAGGGGTCTCATGTTCGTTTGTAGGCATGAACTCCTACTTGGGATACCAGATAACAGTCCCTAGAACCACTCGGGAAGTTTGGGCTGAGGTCACCTCAGTAGTGGGCTGTCCTTTGCGGGTCTTAAGCTGGCCATACAGTCTTATTAATTTTTTGGTGCAACTTGCGGGCTGAACGAAAAAAAAAAATGTATAATGGATTCCTCCATGGATGAACGAATCTCCCGCTGCGTCCTTGGTATTATGACACAAATGTCTGCCACTGTCAGAATACCTGAACAGTGATGACAGATGAATGGCTGCCGTCAGTGTTCAAATTTTACATTCAGTTCTTTCGGTTTTCTGATTACGGGATTGTCAGATGGAAGGGTGCCAACAGGGGTACGCACTGTACAAATTTTGGCAGGTTTGTGAGGATTGTATTTTCTGCAAAACAAAAAAAAGTCTACATATTCCTACAAAGATTTCTGTACGTGGTGCTCATCTAATTTCAGATATCAAGAAGCAACTTGGCTTAAGATGAGGGAGATTGCCAGCATCATATGACCAGAAGACTAAGAAGTTTCTCTAAGGTGTACGCTGCAAGCAACAACATGTAGTAAGCAGAACAAATCTCCTTAAACTACAATGGTAACATGTTTACATGTTTCACTTATTTAAAAAGGTGAAAGGGCAATAAAGATCATACTGTTGTAATAATTGTTATTCAGCTATCAGAATGATTTAGTGAAAGGGCTGGGCATAGGAATATATTTCTACATAGAAAAGACAGGGTGCTTAATTGCACACAAGCCTCTTAACCCTGCAAGGACAACCGGTTAGCATTTTGCTTCTAGAGCGTTTTAATCTGATTTAATTTAGATATCATATCCTGGTCTGAGCTCTGGTGGTCTGAAGCATGCTGGTTTGTCTTTAAAAGTAGATTCTCATTATTCAGTACACAGGCTCACAAAACTTCCTCACCTGAGTATTTTTTTTTTTTATTGTTGATCTCTTTAAGGAGGCATGTACTCAATAACTCATTTTGCTAGGGATGTCCAGATACCAGTGCCGATACTTGGCATTTTCACGAGAACTACCAGGGTTGCAGTGGTTGCAGCTGGGACCTGGCTCTGGCGCTCCACCACTGTCCTGAAACCATTAGTCTGTATTGTTTTAGAAAAACTGTCACATGACAACAAACATGTATCAGTACTCGTACTTGCAACAATGGTATCTGTGCATCCCAAATATATATTTATAAAAACAAAATCATACATTAAAACAGATGCAAATCCCAGGAGCTCCGTGTGCTCCTTACAAATGACAGCTGTCTCCTAACTTTTGAATTTTTCTCTAGTCTAGTCTTGGAGCAGGAAAGGTATCTGTACCGAGTACAGTACTCGGTATAACTGCATCCCTACATTTTACCAAGTCGCTAGACTTCCATGGGATGTATTTTAAACACAGATCATACCAGGCCACACTTCCATGGGATCTTTCAAAAAGATCCACAAAAACAAGCATGTTGAGGACTGAGTTTAGACCTACAGCAACAGCCCAATTAGAAGCATAATAAAAAAAAAGGCACAAATATTTTAGAAAGCCTAAACATTGGGGGGTCAGCAAATGCGCTACTCTCAATTTATGGGAAAATGAGTTCAACAATACAAAAAAAAAAAAACCCCACACATCAGGCATTATTAAAGAATGAATCGCTATTGTCAGACATGATACTACATGGCAAAAATCTAGAAACAGAATCACCTTACCCAAGTAGGCTAATGAAGCATGATAGGAAGCTGGCCCCCTGTATACAGCACATCTTTTCACAAGACATGATGGGGGGAGATGTTCTTATGCACCAACTTAAAGTGACACTAAACTCAGGAGTTAAACCTTAAAAATGCATTCAAGTACCTTAACTATTAACAAAATGTATCTTATTTGTGTATCACTCAGCTGTACATCCTCAAATCATCT